GCGGGGCGTAGCAGCACGCGACGGCTGCCGAACATCGAACTCGTGTGGGAATAGCTAGCTGTGTTCTGCGAGAACTAGCCCAAGCCATTGTCGCTATAACAGAGCTAAGTCTGAAGACTAGTCTCTCTGTGTTCAAGCCTATCTTCATTTCTGACTCTCACCTACGGTTATGAGTTGTGTTCCATCCTGGGTAGAAGCTGATGAAACGTGCTTTCTGGACGAATCGCTTGGCTGACTCGTCTTGACGAGGTGGGAAATACGATTTTCAAGAGAGTCTTTGTGTACAGCCGCCGCCTGTCCAGAAGTAGATGTTACAGCTGCGATGGTTTGCACATGTCTTTCTAATGTTTCCATAGCGAAAATTGAAACCGCAACTAGTCGCCCAACCGACTGGGCGAAGACCGCCGGAACAGCCGAGAATAATCTGAGGTAAGTATGTCGACACGCTCTGCTCAAAATTTATTTCTGCTAAAATTCAAACATTGGCACTGAATTAGGAACATTGGAGACACTGTTTGACGCATGTGACATCGCGATCTGAAGCCATTAGCGGTCATGGAATCTGATTAGCTTATTTTTTGGCTATTGTGAATGCATGAATGGAACTACTAAGTTTCTGAAACGTCGCTGGCAATTAGCATTATGTAAGTCTAATAAGGAAATGAAAAGAAACATATCTTACACTGCAGATTCTGAAATTCCAGAGCCTTGGCCTGCAGATATAAACCTGGGTGGTGGAGTACATCATGAAGTCATGTGGTTTGAACTCTGTATTGCGTATAGCGTATATCAGCTTATTGTGCAAACAGTAGATAACAGCTGATTGATTGAAGAAGCAGCGAAGTTATTTGGAGTGACTACGTTCGCAGTTTCTTGTAAAAGAAATTCGTAGTAGGCAGGATTCATGCAGACCTGTCGGTTTTTTTGGATTTTCTATAATCGCATCATCTGACAGTCTTGAGCTATCCAGTGGAAATATACGATGGTCGCTACATTCAGAAATGCGAGATTAAATGTTATGCTGGTCAGTGGTATCGACAGCTAGTTTTGTGATTAAGCCGAGAATGTGGTAACTACTTCTGTTTAGTCAGAGTTTAGCAGATTTGCTTTCGTTCAAAATATTCTGAAAAATATTCATCTGCTCATGAAGTTACTTTTAGGAGCTGGTGTTAAAGAAAAGGGAGCAACTGCTGTTGAAGAGCTGGAAAAGAATGCCGTACGCGTGGCACAAGCGATTTTAGCAAAAGAAGTCACTGTTAAGCGATGGCGAGGATTTATGACAGGTAGCCGTAATCGATGTTCTAACTCCAATGAATGCAGTGCTCTTTACAGAAGCACTGGAACACGTTTTCGATATCGATTTGTTCAAAAATATGTTTTTAACGTACATGGCTAACAAAGTGAACAAAATGACCAAAGGCCATTATCCGGCTCCTCCACTGATCGTGAACGTTGTTCGAAAGGGCT